TTGTTTTATTGAATTACCTAGTTATCACTAGTTCTGACAACAACATGACACTTCTTAAAGTCTGAATTTTTGATTAAATGTAATAGCACTCATATAGCAAGGCTTCATTAGTTTGGATTTTTTTCATCAGGACTAATGGCCTTCAGGCTCAAGGCTTCATTAGCTTCACAGAAACTGCAGGATACAGGATCTTCAGCCATAACCAAGGGCAGCAATTACTGACTTGGGCACTTACAGGTTGGACAATTCCAGTAGTTCCCATTTTGGCCATCTATTGTGTCCTCAACAGCCCCCAAGGTTTATGGCAGATGTTACTTATCTGGCAACTTCAGCATAACCTGCTTTCGTTAAGTACTTATTTAATCAAGTGGTTATTTAGCATAATACTTTAGCACCATGAAAACCTCTGTTGAGACTTTTTTTTTTTTAAGCCATTGTCCATATGACTAAGAAAGGCAATCAAATATAATTGGAAAAAATATCTTAACAAAACCTCTGGTGCCTCTAAGTTTCTGGAATTAACCAAAAGAGGTCACTGTAAGAATGATATTTTTGATGTGTTCTCAACCCAAGGGCTGAGCATCCATCATTCAGAAAAAGGTCCAGGGGTGGCAACCAGCACTCCAGAGCTGCCTGCAGCCGGCACCCCAAAACTCTCCCTGCTGCTGCTGCATCTCTGGGGACCATCCTTTACCCTGCCCTGCTGCACCATCAGCAACCAGAGATCCTTTTCTTTGGCCTTTCATGACCACAGTCCTAGCTAACTAAGCTACATTAAACCCTTTTAAAAGAGAAGTTTTAAAATTCTGCAGGTGATTTGTTACAAACAGCAGCAATACTCCCAGCTTAATTTAAGGTTCAGTTTTTTTGGTCATGCATCATTATCACAGTAAAATATTTAACACTGGTGAAATCCAGGCACCATAAAACTGACAACATGTTTTATGCCTTGCTGACAGTGGAAGTTAAAAACGACAGTATTCAGAGTCACACTTTAAAGAATAATTTCCATATTTTCACTGTTGCACCAAAAGGACTCTTTCTGTTATTAATACCACTGCTTATCAATAAAAAGCAAACAAACAAGAAAGCGAGACAGCTTCACTTTTTGAAGCAGAGAAATGGGATTTTGTGATCAGTCCCTGGGTACAAGTGAGCTGACAGCTACTGCATTTGCTGGGGTACAGCTGAGCATGTTAACCTATCAGGGATGCTATGTGAGAGCTTGTGGATGCACTCTGTAGTTTAGTGAATATTCAAGCATCTTTCTATGCTCTTTTTCTTGTTCTCTTACCCTTAACATTGGTTTTAGTACTGCCAAAATGACAGTAAGAGCCTGTGAGTGCACGTGCAAAGGAAGGGCGATGCGCATGGAGCTCCTGTGCATAGCGAGGCAGGCAGAGCCTCAGCTGACCTCTGCAGAAAAGTTGGCTGCATATCCATGGAGAATTTGACTTAAGACTTAACAGGCCCAACTAAACATGGTAAAATTGCCTAGCTTGCCTTGGTGTGGCACACTGACCTTAGACAACTGCCTCTCGCTAGTGATGGCAGCACAGCAGAGAACCTGGTTCCTCACTTCCAAGGTGAAAGGCTGCTCATCATCTTGCTGCTCTGGAAGTTGCCTCCACTTCTCCGTTTCAGTCCCATGCCAGTAACATGGGGGGGAGCTGAAGCCCTCACTCTGTTGAGCACGCTCCCTCAGGCAGCAATATGAATCCTTTGCTCCGTGCACTCCTAGAGGCTGCGGCTGCAGCACAGGAGGCTCAAGCTCCACACAACAGACCCAGCAGGTGAAGCTGCTGCTGCGTCTGTCACTACAGATCGTTACAACTGTGGGACACAAAACTCTCCATCAGGACTGACACGGGTATGACGGGTGCTGCCTTGGGCAGGAGGACCGACCGCTGACCTCCTGAAGTCCTTCTCAGATCTGTGACTGAGAAAAGGCAGATGCTGCATTAAAACACATGCAGCCTTACAAAATACTGCAGCGTTTGGTAAAGGCTTCTGGCTGTCACAGAAACAGACCAGTGTCAAGTTGATTCAGCTGATCTCACCTTCCAGCCAAATCATGATTCAGCACAGAAATCAAATCCTTGATTTGACTTGATGCCCTTCCAAGGGCTATGTGACACCTGAGGGGTCTCCGGCAGACCCAGCAGATTAAGTCTAATTCAAGTTGCATTCCTTCTTGGAAGGATATATTTTTCTTTTCAAAGAAAGACTCTTCCAATGGATTTCCCTAAATGAGATAATAAGCAGGACATATGTAAGCCCTGGTCAGAAATTTGGTCTAGATACATTCTTGAATTCAGGCCCATTTTGTTTAAATTTTACCTTGGAAACATCTTTCAAGGGACTATAAATCTAAAAGGTTTGCTACAATCATTGGAGAAAATCCTGGTAACATTAACAGGAAATGCGAAAGGAGCTCTCATTCTCTGGTATCACTGAAGGCTTTTATAATATATTAAAGAATAAGGTACCCATGCCCAAGCAAAAAATGGCTTAGGTAACTGCACTACAACAGTAATAAAAGCACAGCAAGTAAATGTTGTTAATACCACAGCTGTGCATATTTCCAGTTTTCCTCCATTACGTGTTATGCGAATTGAACTTTCTAAAATGACCTGCAATAACATTTAAGATATTATGTAGCCAAATAAAATTATATGATATTAAAGAAGAAATTTACTACAGCAGTAGGAAGAAAGGTTATTCCAACAATTAAAGAAAAGAAGAAAGTTTGTTTGCTTAAAAGCAAACAAATAAGAAAACCTACAACAACACAGAGTGGTTATTCAAAACACCTAGGGAGTCCAGGTCCCTCAACAGAACTAAGAGTTCACTCTCTGCTATAAAGCTACCTCTCAGTTGGAGATTGTGAGGGTGAATATACAACATGAGCAGGAGATAAATAGAAGAAAATAATAACAGGGAACACACGTCAAGTAGTTCCCCTACCAGACTGCATCTATGCTAATGCTTCTCAAATTAAAATCATTATAAAAAAAAAGAATAAACTAATTTAAAACTCTTGCCAAAGCGACTTTATCAAATAAGGCTGCTGTGTGTGCAAGAAGGATTTCAGTTAAATATTTCCAATTATCTTCTGTAAGAACTGTTTTTCATCAAGTAGTCTCGCTTACCTGTTGATTGTCCTGTTGTGAAAACTAGAAAACTGGCAAGTTCCCAAAGAGTTTGATAACATATCAAGGGCAACAGCACGCATGACTATCAATCAGCCCTGCAGGGCTACCGGGAAATGCAAGTACCAGAGGCAAATACTACAAAGAACTTTACTAAAAGGGGCATGGTGGGCACCTTGAGCTCCGATTCATTCTTCATTTCCACATATACATCCCAGGAGATTTCACAGACAAATTTATTTTAACATGGATTTCACCTAAGTTTACATTCCTGTTTCTCATGTACGTGCGGAGGAGTGAAATGCATAAACATGGGAAAGATACCAGCACAGAAAATAATTTTCACCCTAATAAACCACAGGTAACACTATCTTGCAAAGCCTGGTTCCACAGATTTTGTTTAACATACAGTTGCTGTTGACAAGTGCATTAAAAGATAATTCCTGGGGGAAAAAAATACGTTTTTCCAGAACCTGAATAAGACAGACACGTTAACCTCAGCGTCTTTGTTTGAAGTATTTCTGCTCTGATTATAATTAGTAACTCTCAGTTAGAGGTTGCCCACTTACTTCTGAATGGGCATTGATTACACTTCCATTAGCAAGTAACTCAGCAGCATAGGAACACATGGGCAGATGGAGGCGCTTGGTGCTCAGGTTGCTCTACTTGCACTGCATCTTCCTTTTATTTCTGACTGGACTTAGTCTAGACCCCTCTCCCAAACATCCCCACCATGCTCGTAACTGAGGAAGAAAAGATCTCTGTACAACCAAGAACCAGCAGAAACCTGGCCCACAAAACACTACTGATACTAAAATGCTTGCAATATATTAAAACATTTGCGAAGTCCTGCTCGGTGGAGAATAAGTCAATAACAGCATATACTTTGGGAGAAAATGGCTAATAACAATTCCTAATGGATGCAGTAAAATGCTTTTTGGGCCAAGCACTGTGACTTACAGCTCATTGAACAGGACTGTGCTCCACAAGAGCATTCTGAGCACACGTCTTCACTGGCTCCTTTTCTTTCACAAGATTCACACATTCTTGCATAATGTAAAGGTTCTTAAGTGCATCTTTTTCGATCTTCAGGACAGTACCTTAAGCCTTACTTTTCTATTCTCTTTGAAAAAAATGTACTTTTAATGAAACAAGGCATTACACAGAAAGCCTGCTTGGAGTGTAAAAACGCTATTTTCTGCTCAAGCAGCTCATAGCATGACAGAAAAACTGCCAGGAGAAATAGACCTAATACAGGTAAATCTTCTATACAGCATACATCTATCAGACAGAAATTTTAGTAGAAATCGTCAAAAGCTCCATTAAATTTTCTGTCCAAGCCCTGCCAGTTTTGAAGTGCTAGCACAGTATTAGACGATTGGAGGAAGTTTAAATATTCGACACCTAATTTGCCATAGTCAGGTCTCAGTCAGGGACAGAGCAGGAAGAGAGGAAACAGAGGCTGTTATTACTAAATAAAATTAGCTGTATTACCACATCAGGCAGTTGTAATGTTCATTTTCCATTGAAGTGAATTTAAAGCCCATTACATAACTCCCCTGTTTTTATTAAAAAATACATTGATAGCATAAGCTTGTTGCAGGATGCTGTTTAAAATCACTTCAAAACAAGTCAACAGATTGACCATACAAAACATCTCATTTAGAGATCCTAGGGCCAATGGTCAAGCCCACAGAACTCTGATAACATCTAAACAGGCCCCTTCATTCACACAATAATAAATAAAACTGATGATTATAAATAGCAAATAAATCAACAATAAATTCCTCACAAACATGGATAGCTATATAACGCAGGCCATGAACGCTGCTAATGGTATTTTCCTACCTGCAAAGGGAACAGGTGCATCTTTATCTAAAGCAACGAGGGGAGGATCCAAAATCACAGTGTCCGTGTTCTCCGTTATGATCCCATGATAGGATGTCTCAATCCAGGGTTTGTGTTTATTCACTAGAGAAGAAAATAAATACTATATTTAATCAATTTGATTCATATTTTACACCCAATTAGCTCACTTTATTAAGTATATAACATTGCCAAAATTAATGTTATTACTCAAAAGCCATTTATAAAAATCTCCAAGTAGTTTATAAACATGCAAAAATTTATTCTAAGTGATACGTATAGTGCACCATAGCTCACTGCCAAGAAAAATAAACTAACAGACATCCCTCTGATTAAGACACCAAAATAAAAAGGCAATTTTCGAAATAATTTCAACATACTCCCAACTGTCAGGCATAATTAGCATTAGATTTCTTCCTCAAGACTGTGGTAAAAGTCTGATCTAAGGGAAAGAACATCCATGAAAATCTCAGTGGCAAGCAGGAGGGCACGTGAGGGACATGTTTTTCTCCTTGGGAGAAATACCGAGTAACCTTTGTTCTCGGCACTTCTTTTTGAACAACAATAAATCTGATTTTAAGCACTTAGATCAAAAGAAGCCACTACTTTTCCCTTCACCTAGCTTTAGTTAAAGGGTTCCAAAATCCAAAAACGCTAGATATTATTTGCAGACACTGGTGATGTGCAGCTTCAAAGCAACAGTAATTACCACACAAGCTTCCCCTAGCCTGTGGCTTGGAAACTTTGAAAAGAAAGGAAAATTTAAACTCTAACTATAGAAAGGCAAAACAATCTGCATCAGAAGATCCATAAGTTTCAATTATTCTGTCATTTTTTTTTCCTTTTACACGGTTTTAGATATTTCTGCTTTAAAATGTGAAGCATATACACTTATGCTTCTCGTTTTGATCCATTTTTATTTTAAAATGTCCTGGAAACTATGAGAAAGCGGCATTCTTTCTTAGCTATGTTAAAACTTCAGATCAAGTTTCTAAACACATTATTTATGGTGCTACATCGCATTTATTTAAAAACAAAACAGAAAAGCATACAATGCTATCTGCTTAACACTATATTAAGCTATGTTAAAGTGTTTAAGTAGAAAAAAAAAGAAATTCATAGAATTTCCTTTAGGAATAACATAAGAAGATTTTGTTTGAGATGTTAATTACAGCCTCTTAGAGATTAGCATCAATATTTCTTCTATAAATTCTTTTTAAGTGTGGGATTTTAGTATATTAATCTTCAAAAGGGGAAAGGCATATGCTAAAAACAAATATTTCAATATTTCTCTTTACTGTTCAAAGATAAGAATGCATTTTATAAAAGAAAGTGACAGAAAAAAGCATTTTTGGATTTGCATTTGCTAAAGATGACAGAAGAAGCGTGTATGCTTGTTTGCATATAAAAGTTTCATGCTTGAATTTCCCTAAAGGTCTGCCTGGGTAGAAGGGAAACCCATACTAGGATTTCATAAATTCAAACCTGTGTTCAGTTAAAGAGTACAGAAGAAGAATACCTATGCTTTGCTTTTTAACTTCCTTCCCTTTCTATACTTTACTAGCCATCCATATAAAACTATAATGTAAATAATTTGTAGCAGCGAGGATAAGACAATTAATCTTTTTTCATAATTACAGTTAGAGGTCAATTCATTAAACTCTGTATGCACCATTTACACTGCATTTCCATAGTGTATGCTGCCAAAGCTGGTCATTACCAGCCTTTGGATTTAATTAAAGCATCTTCCTAGAAAACTGCCACTCCGCATGCCATCTGCAAATGTATTTGACATGCAAAACACCAAAGGGGGGAAAAAC